TTTTATCATTCTTGGTATTCTTTTCATTTTTTCTAGGTTGCTAAGCCATTTCAGAGTAATATTTTGATTTACTGAAGTATATTTTCCTCTGAAATGAGTGGACGTTTGTGGAAACTCATTGAGGAGTGTCTGAACCCTAACCTCAGCAACACCTCTAGCTAGGGTTAGGGTTAGAATTCCCACAAAACGTAGACAATTTTTGATGGCATGGCTGTGTTTTAGGACAGAAATGATATTAAGGAAAGGTGATATTTCAATGTTTTCTAAACATTTATTTCTGACATATATGGGTATGTACTAAATTCCAAAAGGAATGTGGTCTAAATTGCCCTTAAAGCAAAGGTTTGAAAGAAACTAATTTTAGTTTGCAAACTTCTGCAAACTAGGCATAGGAGACAAAAAAATCCTGTAATGCTTTGGGATTTTTAACGGTTACCATAGTTCAGCCTAAAATTACATACATACTCTATGGTTCCATAGTTGATTCTTTTTTTTAGCTGCATTTGTTTCTGTTTAATACTCCCACTTGAATTTTGTCATGCCGAATTCATGTGTTTCATATTTTCTAAAATGACATTTTTATGTTTTGAAAGTATCTATCACATGTCCATGAGGTATGTTCATCCACAAGTTAAATTTCATGAAAGATAAACAGCAGTGTGACATCAGCACCCCAGATCTTTAGTGCTCCCAATTTCAGACTGTGCTTCACTGCAGATATTCACCAAAAACTGCCACAGCATCATGAATCATCTCAAGGTGAAAATGTAGAAATCTCCGGAGTCCAATTAGAATATATTGGTTGAAAAAAGTCGTCTATGTACTGTAGGATCCATACAGATGCATTGACTATTTTTTTTCTAATATTATAACAGAATAGATATTTTTTTTAAAGCATAATGTACTGACAGCTTTAGTTTTTAGTAGACTATTGCAGCACCAAAAGAGCACACATAATTAGAATTATTGGTCTTTCCAGTAATTGTTTTCATTTGTAGTGGTAAGGCATGTTATTACACTTAAAATTAAGTGTTATTGGTTTCTATAATCTTTCTTTTGCCTTAACAAGACAGCTTGGGCTTTTGTGTAAATGCAGAGTTTTTACTGCTAATAGGCCTTCTGATAAGGGACATCATACAATACAGAACCATCTAATGATAAACAGTAAAGCTCCAGTGAGTCTCTTGCCTGCTTCTCCCCAAGACAATGGGTAAGGGGTCTTTTTTCATCACCCAAGGAAAATCCATAAATGAGGGACCTGCGCGATAGGTACAGCAACTAAACCTGGCAGTATCCTGACCAATCACCAGCTGAGATGTCTCCATTTAAAAGTTTATACTTAACTCATTTTTCTTTGGTTAACTGACTGGCTCCACATCTCTCTCCAACTGAGCTGGCAATCTGACTTTTCCAAACACATAACTGTTAGTCTGAAAGAGTGAGTAAAATACAGAATTCTGCCCAATATATTCTTTCTGAAGCAGAATAAATTTTGTGTACACAAACCCACTGTTATTTTAATCAGATCAATGAAATATGAGAGTTGGAGTTTTTTTTCGACATCCTGAATATCCGAGTATATTCAGCACCAAGGGATAACCGGAATGATCCGAGTTCTTTCACCTGTCTACTATGCAGCTGGACCCAAGAAGACCACTATGGAGAAGCTGTTTTTATAGACTTTTCAGGAAGATGTTAGCATCTGGCAGAGCTGCCTAGTTTAACTTTATCAAATATGTGTGGCCAATGGATCTTTGAGTAAAAAACTTCTTTAATTGCATTATAATTCTCGAGAGTTTAATTTTTTATTCCAAATGTGTTTGATGTTTAGTTCACGGGTAGTAAATACATATTTACTTATATCCAAGAATAAGAGTGTGATGTAATTAAATGAGACGGATCAAACATACGAGGTAGACCATAACAAGTTATAGTTGATATATTTTAATTCTTCTTCTTGAAATGTCTGAGTGAACAATCAATCTTTTATATCAAAACACATTGTTTCACAAATAAATTCTGTTATGTTTGTTATGAATTAATTTGGTTTTATATCAATACATTGTAGTGTATTTAGAATCTGTATGTGAGACTGCAAATTATTATGCTTGATTGATTGATTCCTTAAAGTTGTCAAGTACCTTTACAATTTGCTGTACCAGTTTATAATCGTTATAGTAAATTAAAACTCTCACATCACTTCATCTCCCAAACTTTGAGTATAGTATTAGGATAGGCTGAGAAATTGTATTCAGTATGACAGGGAGAAAGTTGTTTGTGTTTTGTTTCTGGTGCTCTGCTAAATATTAAAGTATCTACTTCCCTCGACATCCCTTTTTTTCCATCATGCAGACATGCTCTTTATCCCAGTGACTTTCAAACAGACACATACAAAATGCGTGTTTATACTCTAATCAAATGAATTTCATAATATAATGCATTCTTCTGCCACCAACCTACAGTATTTAGCATGCTGGGAAGAGATAGACCAGCAACAATAGACAATACCAGCCTTGTCTAAGTTGTGGGCCAAGAGAATTTCAAACCCTCTGAAATTTCAATGCAAGGGCTTTTTACAAGAATCTGTTTGGAACGCTTTGTTTGATAACGGAGTAAAGTAGGCTTTTGCAGGTCAAGTCCTCTGCTTCTGCTGCCAGAGAGGCTTCTGGCAACAATGTAGCTCTCGTCTGTTGCAGCTTGGAGAGACGCCTGATTCAGGCTAAACAGAGCGTGATCCTTGCAATGGGTCGCTGCTGATTGAGCTCCTTCGATTCTGTGGGACAAGTATCTGCAGTTCTGAATGCCAAGGGGATCAGTGTTTGATGGTCCAAAACAAAAAAGAAGAATTAGATTGAGCCTCTTCCAACAGGCTTCTGGTTGTGTAGTGATGGTGTCAGCTGGTGCTGCTGAAATATTGCTGTAACCTCAAGAGTTCATAAACTAAGTAATATGTCCTTCAAGCAGCTCAAAGACAGTAGCGATAAGGGTAAAAATCCCTGTGCATGGGCAAGGATGCACAGTAATGAGTTTGATTTAATACTGTTTGTTAGCTTTATCATCTAGAATGTTCCTAATGGAATATCTTGTTTTTTTGAATTCCATAAATTCAACACATTTGTTTCTTACGATTGTTCAATTTGCAAACGAGCAGGGGCAAACAGCTTGGTTGAAACCAGAGCATCCTTTTCATTTTCTTAAAGTGGTCTGGCGATTTATTTTCTTAGTCTGAAAGGCTTTGTTGTAGTAAGCACAAAAACAAAGGAAAAATCAATCAATTCAATCATTGGTTAATAGTCAAATTTCATACATTTAATTTGAAAATTATTCTAATTTGTAAATAAGTTACTAATAAGTTGCTAATTTAAATAAGCACAGGTCTGTTAGATGGAGCAGAGCTGTAGAGAAAAAGACAGTTCTGAGTCCAGAGTTGGAAAACACCTTTTGGGGAAAAAAAGTTCTTCCTTCAATGTGCCATAAGATGTACTGTGGCTCCTGTTTCCAGAACCAAAACAGGGGATAATATTGGAAATACTGCAGTGATAAGGTCATGTCATGAGCTGAGCTCAAAATTAAAAACAATGTAACAGCAAAATAGAGCTTTTCCTAATCAAATAACAGAGAACATATTTCAGTGTTTTTTTTTTCCTATCAGTGATATGTGCTTTACTTTGCATTTACCCTGAATATTTCCAGGTGATCATAGTTTGGTGTGTCGTGCTTAGTATATACCTGTGTCTCAAAAATAGCAGGGATGCTGTCAAACAAATGCAGACTCGAGTTTTCAGGGAGAGTAACAATATTCCCTGCACATTTTTCATCTGTGATAATCTGATGACTGAATTAGGTAGCTCATTAGGTGCTTGACTCCTCATTAATTTTTCACTGAATATTTGTCTTTCAGATATATGATGAATGTGACCTGGGATGGCAGAGATTTGTCCTTCACAGAAGATGGGTACCAAGCAAACCCCAAACTTGTGGTCATAGTTTTGAACAAGGACAGGGAGTGGGAAAAGGTAAGGCCAAATCTGCTGGAACTGAATACTGTACTTTGACAGACACAGCCTACAACGAACAGTATAAAACTGCATTTTGATTCAGTTTTCAGTGCATTAGTTGTACATCCAGGATGTGTTGGATCCGGTGGAGTGCTATGACCATCGACAGATTGTGCTCTTTAGGGATTTCTCGACATGCTCCCTGTAAATACTCTGTAAACCGACAGATGTCATTTCAGTTTCCAATGACATGCCAATTGCAACATGAGATTAAATGTGTTTTGCTGCAGGGTAAGTCTCTGTGGCAATTTCAACCCCAATGTGCTGTAGGGTGAAGAGGAAATATCATTTGAAAATCTGAGTCATATATAATTTTTCTGTCACATTTATGTTGGCTCTTTTATCTAATGATGGTTGACACATTTTTAATGTAAACATTTTTTAACAGTAAATTTTTGTGTTACAAGATTAAGGTAAATTAATCTGCAAAATTCACAGGTGTGTGCGAAAACCACTGAAGTGTTGGTTGTCTCACAGCATAAGTCTTATGTGACCCAAATTGGTGTGGTTAGAAAATGAACAGCATTTATTCCATTAATTTATTTCTGTTAGTTGAAATCTTGAGTTCTCTAAATACATTTCAAGAAGGACATAAAGTAACTTTTCAGTTATTTTTTGCAAAATCATTACATAAATAGACAAGAGAAAGGCACATCATATTTTGAGGTTAACATGTTATTATTAAGTAATTACCTCCTTTTAATCGCTATCTATGATTATTGATTATTGATTATTCTCCAGTTTTCAGATGTTGAATAAATAGCAACATTGTTAAGGCCATAATCCATAAGCACGTGTCTTTGTGTAGATTGAATGAGCGCATCTTCATGGCACCCAGGCATGTTGGTGATAATTAGAAACGATTCATATTCTTGTTTAAAGGTGGACAGAAAGAATAAAGGGCTATAAATTACAATGTTTGCAACTAGATTGTTACTACTTTCATTTGGAAAAACGTGATTTTAAGTTTTTAATGACAGGGAATAAATAATGGTTCTAAAACCAAAACAATGGGAGAGATTGATCCCTTTGATTTTACCCAAAAGTTAAATCAATTTTAGCATCAGACCAGAGAAAGGTATTGACAAGATAAAGCCTACATGAATACAGATAGCATGATCTTAAGAGGAGATGATTTAGAAGCAGTTCAATTGCATCTCAAAAATTGCATTTTCTCACAGCCTAAAGGAGGAAAATGAGCAGTAAACTCCTCTTTTGCACCTATTCTCCATGGGAATAAAGGATATTAAAAAAGTGATACATTTCCCTTTATTTTCGGTACAGTACAACTAGTGGTGGATCTGAAATATAATTGAAAACTGAGAAAAACAGAAGATTCTACTTTCTATCCAGATTAAAAAGGCAGATTGGGCCTGCTATTCTAAATACAGGGTGTAACTGCCATGATTATGTTTAAGTAGCAGTAATATATATATATAATAAAAAGTAATGATAGTGTGGTATGGTTAAATATACGCAGTGAGTGTTGACACTCATAATTGAGTTAAATTAAGTCTGCACCTCTCAAAGTTATCTTCCTTATTATCTGCATCACCTCCCTCATTTCACAGTTCTTGGTTCTGTGAGTTGAGACATTCCTAGATCCTCTCGCGACATCTAGTTTAGACTTTTTGCACATACAGCAGCACTCAGCAGTGGCTTTGAATGTCAAATGGAGAAGCATGGGATGCAATCACAGAAGATATGGCCGCATCCATAGCAGGAACGCAGATGAGTGAATCGGGAAGCCGTTCTCAGTTTCTTTTTTCAGAAAATTGATCTCTGTAAGCTCCCTGTGTTGATCCATCTGAGTGCTCCAGTGATGGCCCTCTGACCACAGCGCTGTCTTAAGCTTTTCCTCCTCTCTCATCAGTGTGCTGACAGCTGCAGAGATCAAGAAGTTGGGATGCAAAGCAATTATGTTAATTAATTCCACATCAACATGCTGCCCACTGACACTGATTAGATTTAAGACGGAAAAAATATTCTGGGCTTTTATTCAGTATGCGGTGCTAGCCTTTTTATGTTTTCACTTTTTTATGAGTTTCGAGTGGGTGGAATCCAAGGAGTACTTGTTTGTACTTCACAGTGTGGATGAGAATCCTCTCAAGTTACAGCGTGTAAGTGTAAGTCAGCAATAAAGCTATTAATGATCTGGAAGCACATTCTTTGAAAAAGAAAACAGGTCCTCTCAGACTGGTGATTTAGTGATTCCAGGTTTTTCATTTTCTAAAAACATTAACAAAGAATCGGGCGACCTGTTTGAACATTGTAAATTTCTTTTCAGAGTTTCCTTATTCAAGCAGTGAATGCCTGGGAAAGCTCGTTTAATATCATGAACATAATGTATTTGTAACTGAGATATAACATGTTATTGCCTTCACAACGTATGTAATAGATTATATGGGTTTTGCTTTCTGTTGCTGCAAGCACTGGTCACAGTGGTTGTGCAAACTGAGATACCACTGTCCGTAGAGCTGAAAAGAGACCGTGAATCATGAGTGCACTGTGTGCCCAATGGCAGCCCAACTCAGAGAAGCAGGAAAGATGAGACAAGAGTCCTGGCAGCTCTGTCATTGCACCCAGGGCTTGGATGCTACTCAGAAACCCATGCATGTGCTGGCCAGAGAATCAGACTGACACTGACTTGTTTTACTGCCTAATAAGCAGCATGAGTCCACCTACTGTAAAAGGTTTGTGGCACTACAGAAATAATGCAATTTGCTAGAAAAGATTGGACAATTCTAACAGAATTGTTACCGCATTATAAATAAATGCCAGTGACTTGATGTCTCACAGTGATTCTTAAATTCATTTTTAACTGAAAAATGGTGTCAAGATTAAACATATGGGAACCTCTTAGTTCATGATGGGTGTGTAATGTTTTTTGCATGACAAAAGAAAGTCTTACCTGTATTTCCAAAAAAATCACCTTCACAAACAAGTATGAAGATAGTTATTTAGAAGAATAAGGTACCTGCTGTTTCCAATGGCCAAATGTTCTTCCATACAATGCTGTAATGTAGGATATGCATACTGGGACAACTGTTTTGCTGCCACTGTCTGCAAATGTGCATATACGATATGTTTCAGAATTGAGGTTCTGCACAGTCGCTGAATCTGGTTGCTAGACGTCTCCATCATCAGGCATAGATGATGTAGGGGTACATGACAACTGCATTGTTCTAAGTCACATAATAGAAGTGTAATGCAGTTCACCACAGTTCTGTGTTGATATTAAACTGACAAACCCAATTTATCAGTTCCAAGCACTTCCAGTGCAGGATACAACATCAAACCCCGATTTACAGCGTCAGTGCACTGCAGCAATGCCTATTGCTTTGTTTCTTTAGACTGCAGATTTGTACGTGTGAAAGGGAACTGGCCAGAAAAAAACCCACCTCCACTCCCCCTTTATGGTTCTCCAATAAAATTGTATTCCATGCAGATATTCTTTAAGTTTTCATTCAAATAAATGCTAATGACCCAAAGCAAGTTGAGATGGATTATGGGTATTGATATGAATTAGCTCTTTGTCCAATTAAATGATACAGAAGATGGAACTGTATTATGACTTTTTTTCTTCCTTTGTGTGCACATAAGTCAAATTTAGCTGCCACACATTGTCTCTAGCATCTGCTTATTTAAATGCATTGCATACATGTCTTGTATATTATATATATAAATATATTTCAAGGCATTTAAATAAGCAAAAGCTACAAATAAAAATAAATAGTAATAGCTTGCTAAGCAACGTACAAGAGTTCTCTATATATCATCATCATAAAAATCATTATCATTATCATCATCATTACAAAAATCGCAACGTGACCGCAATTAAACTTGCAATTATGTCTGATATTTGGATCGTTGAAATAATCATTATTCACACATAATTATACTATTAGAAAAGCAATTCAACTTTTTCAGACTGTTTCAACATTGTATAACTTTTACTTTATAAAAAATGCAATTAAACATGCAAATACACATCTTAAAATTCAGACTATTGAGTTGGTCTGTGTTGGCCCAATCTGAATTTTTTCTTCAGGGCATGAATGGAGAACAAAGACCTTGACAGTTTAGGTATTGTTAAAGTTGGCAATGTATATTTTGTTCTCTCTTGTGGTTAATGTTTTTGTTGAATTATGCAAAGAAAAACAGCATGATGAACCTACTGCTTGCAAAGGGAATTCCTAATGACTGACTAAAGTCATATGTTATATGTTACAGTATATGTTATTTTCTATTTGGAAATAATACAGAGAAATATTAAACTGTGGAAGGATATGATTAAAATGTAGTGATGTGAGGATTTTTATTTACTGTAACAATCAGAAACTGTAAAAATAAATGGCGACAGTACTTTGCTGACATTTAGGAATCAAATACAATAATTAACTGTTTCACACACAGATTCTAAATGCACAATATACTGTACAATTTATTGATATAACACCAAAACATGCATAACAAAAACCAAATGGAATCGAATATATTTATGAAATGATCTGCTCTGATATGAAACACTGATTGTTCTCTCAGGGACAAAATAAATTAATTAAATTGTTACAGTCAAGTTCATATCAGTCTAATACAATGTCATCACAGACATATTCCCAGATATTAACATGCATTTACTATTTTGAACTAGACTCCAAACATGTTTGGAATAATAGTTCAATTCTCAAGAATTATAATGTGCATAAAGATCCATCCAAATACAGTATGTTCTTGATGATTTTAAACTTCCTGCTGGGTAGACTGAGTTGGTCTGGGTTGTTCTGTGGTCTGGCTTGGTGGCTGTTAACATGCTGAACTGACTGCAAGGTAGACAAGTGGAAGAACTTGGTCTGTTCTGGCTTTAGCTTGATGCTGAATATGCTAGGATATTCAGGATGTTGACAAAAAGAAGTCCACAAAAAGTCCAATTGTTTTATTTCATGAATCATATGAAA